GAACTGAGACTGTCCGAGAAAATGAAGTAATGTTCTGCGGGCATGTTGGAAATCATCCCCAATGCGAAGTTGATTGCTGCCAGCTTAGCAACATAAACTGAAGTTTGCGGAATGCGCTAGAGTTTTCATTGAAGACACCGAAGCCATTGAGACGTGACCCGTCTGTAAAATATTTTTTCACGCAATTGACGTGTTGGTACTTTTCAGTAAAAATACGTGGGATAATAAAAATTCGCAGTTGATCTGTAATCCCATGAATCACTTGTTTCATGGACAGATCATATTCACTTGAGGAACTGCTAATGGTGAAGTGAGCACGGTCTGGAGTATACCAAAGAAGATACATATCCGAAGATTTGTAGTGAAGGTAGATTCTCATAAATCGAGATTGTGTGCTCAACCCAAAAATGTCTTCAATTATAAGTGCGTTCGTCACTCCGCAGTTGATTAAAGGGTGTACCACATCAAATTGCTTCACGGAAAAAAACGCTGTAGAAAATTACCTAGTTGACCGATCCTTTTCAAACTTTCAGACACAAAAATATAACCCATTAGTAAAAGTTTGGCATATTTATTTCATTGAACTTCAATACCATAACCGTATACTTGCACCTTACGCTTAACTCCACTCATTAGGTTCTGTACAACATCTGGCTGCAGCTTATTCTGTACGGAAACTCACTTCTTCTTCATGTCTTCCTCAGATCTGGCCTCCTTGGGATGATTCCGTAGTGCCTGCTTCATAATAGCCCAGTATTTTACGATGGGCCTTAGTTCTGGTGCGTTGGAGGGTTCATGTCCTTGGGTACGAAAGTAATCCCGTTGGCTTCGAAAAACTCCAGGACAACATTTGAATAGTGGCACAAAGCGAGATCCGGTCAGAAGATCGTAGGGCCCTCGTGTTGCTTCAACAGCGGAAGCAGACGCTTCTGTAGACCCTCCTTGAAGTAGATCTTCCCGTTTACAGTCCCGGTAGTCACGAACGGCGCACTCCGTTTGCCACATCATGCATTTCTTGGCAAACTTTTAAAGTTTCTGCTTCCTTACTTCCTCCGGAACATCAAACTTATGCTGCCCGGAAGCTGCCGGAAGTCCGCCTTGACGTAAGTCTCATCATCCATGATGAGACAGTGAGGCTTCGTTAGCATCTGGGTGTACAGTTTCCGGGCCCGTGACTTTCGCACCGTAGTTTGCCGTTCGTCACGATTTGAAGCCTTCTGCACTTCGTACGTATGCAGTCCCTCCCGATCCTTGGCTCTTTGAACGAAAGACATGGACAGATTCAACTTTTTGGCCACATCCCTGACCGAAGCATTGGGCTTCCGCTTAAATGCTTTCACGACACACTTGTGATCCTGATCACTAATATAACATCCATTCTGACCGCATTTCTCCTTCCGTTCGATGCTCAGAGTTTCGTAGGAACGATTAATCGTGCACTCACCGTTGATTGCACGATTCCTAGTTGCTATCGGATGTCCCGATGAGAGAGTTGAGGATTTTCCAAGTGCTTACGCAAAATCAATTCCCGACGTTGCTTTTCGGGTGATGCCATTTTTTACAACTTTGAAAAAACTGACAGCGATAAAAATACAGTGTAAACAATACACTCTAAACTACTTCTGCCCAAATTTTAAAGAGAAAAAGCCCAATGGGTAATGCAATTTGATGTGGGACACCCTTTAGTATCTTGAGAGAGAGAGAAATAGCACCCAGTAACGGTTCTGGTGCGTCGTTACTTCTGTTGTTCCAATAAAGAGAAAACAGTCAGTTTCAAACAAATCGTGCATCCCTTGGTCACAAAAATTTACAAAATTCTCTTACAGAAGCCACCCCCTCGAAAAATCACCAGCAACCATCTTTGGATAGAGCAACTTCAATCCCCACTGCTGCTGGCGACTGCAGTGGCACGAGTTTGCAATTTGATGCTACTGTTGTTGCCCTTGGGGACACTTTGTCATCGCTTTTGCCTTTGAAAATTGACTGCCTCGCACTCGGCGTTCCCTCCGTCACCAACCAGAACACGGCCAGGACAGAGAGATGGAAGTCAGTTTCATAAACCGCACCTATCTGACATAAACACTCCTATAAAGGAGACGGATGGACCATCCGCCCGGAAGAGAGACAGAGAGATGTTGGTTGTAAAGTTGCAAACCCATCATACGACCAGCAGCAGTAGCAGCCACCGCTAGACGTCCGGGAGTTTGTCTCCGGGTTCGGGCAGAAGGATGAAGATGCACACAAATTGGGTCAGACACCGGAAGATTTACGGGTATTGATTGGAGCGATTTCATAAGGCCATAGATATTCTCTCCTCAGGATGGCATTCTGTGCTTTATTACCCGTTTGCACTTGAGCAATATCCGGAGAAGCAGTGTGACATTTTATAAGCCGGATGGGCCACCGCCAGCCACCGGATGTGGGAGAAGATGGTTATTGCATAGTGACAATATCTGTCACAAGGTAGGAAATCGGAATTAATTTCAGCCCAAGACCAAGCGATCGTTTCGGGAATTGCACTTTGACGGGCAAAATTTGATTGGGGAATTCGGGTTAGTTTCAAACCACCTGGAGCGTAGATAAATTTCACAAAATGGATTATGAGTTTCTGCAGTGGCGATTGTGTGAACAGCAATTCATTTCCGCACAAAAGTCCAACAACTTTTCCCATAATGCTAATTTGCTGCACACTAACTACTGAACTAAAACGGGAACTTCCTCGAGTGCTGCATCGGAAAAGTTTCGAACTAAGAAACGTGAAAATGACAGACCTTCAACACAGGTGCAGTTCCGCTTCCTCTCCATTTCCTTTTGTTCGCTTTATTTTCTTTCGGAGTCGAAAGGTCCATCCGTTGCCGAGAAATTAAATTTACACCCATTAGCATCTGGTGCTAACGAAATAAATTTGTTTCTCCTTCTTCTCATTGGACTTCCGAACCGGGAAAGAACTGGGAACAACTTGGTTCTCAGGTCCACATTGCAGGCAGCGCTCGCACAACCAACAGATTGGATAAAGTTTAAGTTCATTAATTAAATTCCGTGGAATGAGTTTTCCCTCCGGTTCGCTTTTCACGGCTGCGACGAGGAGAGAGGGGACGTGGTGGTTTACGAGAATTGCCTCATCTACTGGCTACCATGGATATTTATTATATGGATTGCGCTAGGCGGAACAGTGGGAGATCGATTAAGACGAAGAGGTTCAGAAGGATGCGAAGGGGAAGTGGTTTGATAGTCCGAAAATTAATCGGGATGTTTATTAGCCGAAAATGGGTGATTATCAATCAGTGAAAGGATGTTGAATTGCGCTGCTGTGGCCGTGGGTTTAGTCCGGGGGATACATGATCAGTTACGAAAGCAGAATACCGTATGCGCGATAATGTTTGCATCATCGTACAAATAAGGTTCCCGTTTCACCTGTGTATGCACATGCCTTGGTTTTCTTTGCATGCACGTAACCTATAGCTCATACCGTAGTAGGCTGTGTATAAAAGAAATGATTTACTTAGTTTGACAGTTACACCATGACGAAGTGGCAGCTCATTCGTGATTTTTCCCACGCGCAAATGTCGCAAAAAGACATTTCAATCGCCGTGGGAGTGTTCTGGTGGACCGTCAAAAGGGTTTTAGACCGAGAAAAGAAAGGACAACTATCCGCGAAGGTGGCCACAGGTCGTCCGAGGTCAGCTCGGGTTCCGAGGGTTATCGCTGCTATCAAAAAGAAGATTCGGCGCGTCATGAATGCCAAGATCTGTTCTAAACGCCACCCGAGTACAGCAAGCCTCAGACAAACATTGACCCGTACCTGGAGAGAAATGGATCCAGACTACATTATTAGAACCTGCCGTGCATTCCGGAAACGTGTAGAGGCCGTAATTGCAGCAAGTGGAAACTTGATCGATGATTAACAAAGTTTAAGACTCTGAGAAACATCCCCCTTTTGAATAAATAAAAAAAAACTCGCAAACAAAATTTTTGAGATTTTTTTAAATTTTGACATTGCTTAATTGTGCAAACATTATAACGCATACGGTCGGTTGTGTTGTGGAACGCATTGAACTGGAAACTCACTTTTCCAAAGAATGAATTTACCTTTGATTTCGCCTAATATTCTTTATCCGATTTATCGGTAACACGTTTTTCAGTGACCTGCCAAACTGCGTGAGCGAAACGTATAAAATTACAGTTTTGGATTGAAACGATCCCGACGGAGATTCCAGACTTTCCCGGTGGGGATTCCATCAGTTCTCATACGCAACGTTTCAGCACGGCATCTTTTGGTCAAAACTAGAGACACGGCACTCTTATCGTCAAGACTCTTTAAATCTTTAAATCCTCTAAGGAAAATTTGCAACCAGCACCCTTTAGCTCCAAGCTCATGTCAATCCAATCAGGCGCTTATCCTGATTTGTCCTTTTTCTCACCGGGTTGTGTTGTGCTGGTAACGGCAGTCCTTAATTAAGAGCTTATTTGTCTAAAGCCAACTCATCTCAACCGTAGTTGCTGCTGCTTCTGCTGTTGTTTGTCTTCTAGTTCTTCGGAAGACTAAATATCCATGCTGCCCATCGTCTTCGTACCGTCGTCGGCGGTGTAGACTAAACTTTCTCCCTAGATAGGAGAAATGTTGTAAATCGGTAGGATGCCTCTTAGATAAATTAAAAGTGATTAGAAGGTGAAAATAGGCAGATTGGAGGGAGAAACTGTTGGGGATGACTCTGTTTGCCAGGCTATCGGAAGGAGTTCAGAATAAATAGTGTCGGAGATGGTGCTATAATTATTTCGCTACCTCTTAACTCCTACTGACACCGTACTTGATTTACAGATAACAAGGTAAAAGAGCAAACATTCCGTTTTAATCCAATCACTGTTATGGAATTGGATTGTTCAATTTTATTGAAAAGGAACAATTAGTCTTGTTCTGAAAATTTCCTAATAGCCGAAAAGTGAATCCTTGCACAAAATCTAACTGCTCGCCATCAACAATCTTCCCTCTCCAACAACAGGGCTCAGCTCGGAGGAAAAATTGCACGGCGTAAAGTACATAATCGAGTCATTTGTCGGCTGCATCCGCAACGTAGTCCTCAGCTCCGGCAAGGCGGCGTCCGATCTGCTGCCCATCACTCCGCTCATCGCCACCAAGCACGAGAACGTCAAGGAAGGCTGCCGCAACAAATGCCACTCCCGGCAGAACCTCTGCTTCCCCGGGTCCCGCTGCGTCAACCACTACTATGACATCTCGTGCGACTGCTTCGGGACCAAGTACGAGGGCGAACACTGTGATATCTATAGTGAGTATCTATTTTCGACTGAAATGGGGGCATATTTTGAATTTCAACTCATTAGACTGGGCCAACGCTATACCCTCGGACGGTTTCCAGTCCAAATTGACATGAAAATCGTAATACCCACCCTGTAGCCATTTTCGCTTTTCCGACAACCGACTGCCGATTAGAGCTGGAAACTGTCCCCATGTGAGAAATTCGATCCTAAATGCCCTGTCACATAATAAAACCGTAGCACCATTTAATCATTCTCCAATTTTCTCGCCACCAACAGCCGCAACAGTATTAACGCTGCGAGGCTCCAGCTACGTATCGTACCGGATCTACGACTGGAAGGACCGTGTCCATTCGCCCGTGACCCGCATCAGCATGATGTTCAAAACGAACTACGACGACTCGGCGCTGTTCTACGCCAGTGGAGAGTCCCTCAAACCGCAGTATATTGCCGCCTCCATCAAAAACCACTCGGCCTACATCGAGATGGACTTTGGCGACGGTGTCATGGCGGCCGTTCTCGGCCAGGACCTCACCAAGCACTATTGGCACAATCTGACCATCTTCCACCAGAGCAATCAGGTCCTGGCCATCCTCGACGACCAAATGCAAATCCTGGACGTCCGTGGGGACATCCACAATCTGCTGTTCGATCCGGAGATCTACTTTGGCGGTGGTCCCAACCTCTCCAAGCGGAAAGGTCTCGCCTCGAACAACAACTTTGTCGGTTCGCTCAAGTACGTCTTCTACAACGACGTCGCGGTGCTGTTCGAGCTGAAGAAAGCCAACGCCAAGGTGCACTACATCGGCGTGCTAGAGGAGGAATTCCGCGAAATCGAAGTCGATGTCATCCCGATCACGTTTTCCTACGCCAAGTCACACATCTGGTGGACCATGAACACCGTCGATAAGCTGGACCTCAAGTTCGACTTCAAGAGCAGCAAATCGTCGGCCGTGCTAGCCTACAGCGAAGTCAAAGTCAATGATGTCCAAATGAACGTCGAAACCGATGGCTACTGGGAGGTAGGTAAAATTAGATTAATTAGACAATCAGGGCAGGATGGAAATTAGGCTAAGTGTGCGGTCGGTAAAAGAGTCCCAAGGTGGCAATTTTACAAACGTACACATTCTAATTCCAAAGGGTTCCTTCTGCGAAGGATGGGAGCACAAACACACAAAGGTACACAATTTGATGCTGGTAGCATTAGTTGGGATCAGCAGGAAGGATACATTAAACTTTCGATTTGGGACTATGGGAGTTATGGACATACCTAAAGGGGAATTATTTGAAAGCAAACTTCGAACACATAGCTGAATAAAACACTGAAGCTGGTCGCATTTTTAAACAACCAATACCGAAGAATGGTAAAAGCTTGGAAAGGGCGCCAGGATGTAACAATTATTTCATCTATCAGTCTCGTTGATTTCACCTACAAGTCCTCTGGCATTCGTCCAAAAGATCTCTTTCAATTTCATTCAAAGTGTTTTTATATTACTTCATACGCGAAGTTTGCGATTTTCAGAGTTGGTTGGAAATGCTATCTAACATGAAGCTTTAGTGTGATAATTTATTAGCTAGAGAATGGTCTTAGAAGAGAGTAGGTAGATAGTTCCCTTAGAGTACGGCAGTATGAAAATTGAATAGAAGTTGAAAATGAGCGAAGGGCCATTAATGTGACAGTGCAAGTCAAACACACACTCTTTGCCTAACCCGTACGATGTACGCGGAGATTTTAGGTATGTCTTCAAATCTACAGGCAAAAAGTGTGCCTTGAAGTTTTTGATGAGGATATAGAAAATTCCATCGTCACCTGGAGCTTTCATATTCATATTGTGAAACTTTTTATTTATAGATCTTACTTCGTCCAAATCTGTCCCCCAGGAATTATCAAAAATATTTTCCCAAGAAAAAATATTCAGATAATCCCGAGCAACCTGATTCTCAATGGGACTAGTAAGACTCAAACTGAAATTGTGGGAACTCTCGAATTACTTAGCAAGTTTTTGAGCTTTTGCCGAACTTGTGATCAAAATTTTACCACCTTCTTTAGGTGCTGAAATAGGTTTTTGAGTTTATTTTTTATTTTTGTGAGCTTCCAAAAGGGTTTGGAACTCAGGTCTAATTTCGAAACATTATTTTCAAAAGTTCTTTTCCTCAGGGCAGATAACCAAGGTTTTGGCATCCACCCCGACGGCCAATTTGAACTGAAGACATGAATTTAAGTAAGAGGTGAACTAGCCATATGGCTAAAAATCTGGAATTGGATTTAACAAAGCTCAAAACTACCGTGCGAAGAGCATGGAAATCGGAAGTGGTTATCACAATAGAGGGGACCTTTTTCTTCTTGGCATTAAGCCGGGAAAGTTTAGTGGAATTTTGCCTGAATGATGGATCATTATCATCATCCGTAAGCATATCAAATTGATTGCTCAATTAAATTTCATCACAAGGGGGATCAAGAGACTGCCCTTTTCTTTTGCGTTTAGGCGCCATGACGTCAGTAAAACGTTTATCTAACTCGACTTCCAAGCAGATTACTACAAGGATCTGAAGGATCGAAGAGGAATTTTCTACATTGATATCCAAGCAGGATTACAGGGGTAGGGTTCAAACAAGGATCGAACAAAATATAAATTTTGCTGGTATTATTGAGCAGAAAAGTGCTGTTTAAATTAGTTGTAGCTATAGGTAGCAGTAACACTTCCATCAGCGAAAAGCAAATATATCCGCACGGCACTGATTTTATAGTTCAGTCATAACTTTTTGTTCAAGATCTTAAACATACAATATAAAATACAAGTTTGGATAAGCTTTCTAGATACTAAAAGTAAGGGTAGTCTTAATGCTGTTGAGATTTGATCTCAGGTATTCAATTTTTGAACCTTTACGTGGACCATGGACAATTCTCAAGGTCATTGGATTTTTTTTTCAGCATATGAGAATTTCGATGAAGTTTTTCTGAGATAATTTCAAGGAAACTCTATGGATATTTACAAAGTGGGTTTGGATAAAATTTCAAAGATTGTTTTTATGTGTCCCACACATGAATTTTTGCAATGTGATCAACAAATGATATTTATGTGTCGGACACATACTTAATATGTGTACACATAAAAGCCATGTGTAACCACACATACTATTCATTTGACTCATAATTTTCATGTGTGATTCTGGGTGGCTGTCTATGTGTGGTCACATGAAAATCATGTGGAATTTCACATGGAAATTCGTCAATAAAAATGTGTGAAATTTTATTAGTGTAGTAAAAGCTGATATTCGAAGTCTGGTGCCATTTTGAAATCCTGATTTCCATAAAAGCCGAAAGTAAGGTCGAAAGTAGGTCGGACTACCAATATACGAAAAGTTATTGGAAATACCAAAGAGTTGATTTAAAGTTCTGCGCCTTTTTGAATTTCAAGGCTTGAAGTACCGAAATTTACACAATGTCATATTGAAAATAACTATCTTAAAAGAAGAGAGGAAATTTACCGCCACGAATATATATTTTGGGCCCTTTTTTATTTCTCTTAAAGTATTGAAATTAAAAGAAAATCGGTTCACACGTAAACATATTTTTTTCTATCTCATCATGGAAAATATTGGACCTTCAGCAAAACAAAAAGGTCGATATTTTGTGGTTTTTTACGGCCATGATAACTTTAAAAAAAAATGTTTTTGCTCGAGAATTTTCTTTAAATAATTTTATTTTTATTTTAAACATCATTTCCCAATATTTTTGGAAAATTTAAAACGTCATTTTTTTACTGATGAAATTTCCCTTAAAGCGGTGATCTGTGGAGTTTACTGGAGTAATACAAGTCTTGATTTTCCCGTTGAATTGAGTTGCTCCCAAGGGGTACTCAACTCTGCACATCTCAATTAGTGCCGAGTACTTTATCTGTGCCACAAGCTGTGCCACAAGCTGTGCCACAAGCTGTGCCACAAGCTGTGCCAAGCGTTGTGCCGCCGAACGTGCCGAAGTGCCGCAATCAATTTGTCAGTCTCAGTATACCATGAGTTTGGCAACCCTGCAGTTATGACTTTTGAGATTGTTTATTTACAACCTCAAGCTCTCATGGATGGTTAATTGAAAAATGGAAAACGGAGATATGAACATTTATTTCAATATTAGTGGTATACGAGTGTTGAAAGTAAAACGAACATAAAATAATACGCGTGTGGTGAGTTCATTCATTCCGCTTGGTTCAATGATGCCATACGGGTGTGTCATGAAGGAACTAACCTCGATCACAGTAGTAAATATATTTTGATTACAGCAAGGAGTTCAAGCACCACTACATCATCATAAACAACGATTTTAATAATCGAGTACATCTCGGAAAAGGCAGAATTAGAAACAAATATCATTAGGCTTATACATATACATACAGATCCACATTCCCGTAGAATTATTTCTCCCCCGGCTCTTTCAAATATGTCCTCGGCGTACTCAGCTGTTTCTTTATCTTTCTTGGTATATATAATATGGTTTAAGCTGTCCAGAAAACTTTCCTGAAGGACACCTAATATTGTGGAACACATATTAAGTGTTTATCGTTATTCAATAGTTAAGCTCAAGCTCAAGTTCCAGCTGTTGCTAAAAACATTGCACCAGTATTGACGGAAATTTTCAATTTTCAAACCTTAGCAACGGGTAAATCGATTAGAAAAACTTCAGCGCTCAACAGTGTTACCGTTTTATGTAATATTTTTCATGTCATACGTATCAGCGTGTGCCTTAACCTGCCGAATAGTGTGTCACACTGTGTTTCGGCACCGTGTGAAGAGTTGATTCCCCCTTGGTTGCTCCAATGTTCATGTTTAGTGATGCCTCATGCAGCGCTGAGATTTGTCATTGTCATTGACAGACTACCGCGCGAATTTTTTTTTAAACTAGTTCGTTTATTTGGTAGGCTCAATCGCATTAGCTTTACGGAGCCGATAGTTCATTGTTCATTGTTTGTAACAAAATTCACTTAACTCTATGTCTAGTAGGAGTTGGGCCGAATACTCGCGGCTTACTCGAGGTTAGAGAGGTACATTGTCCAAGGATAGGGTCAGGGGAGGAGCTTGGGGGTAAGGTTTCGTTGTCTCATCAGAGCGTTGTCACCAGTATGAATGGTAGTGCGGTTCTAGTTTCGTCTGGAGTTCGACCGGCTATGGTGACCAGTGGGCGACGATGAGACTCATCGAGACGGGGGGACAAGACAAACAAAAACTATTAAAGAGAGACAATATACAAAAGAATTAAATTCTTATACTAGACATTTGAAGAAACACATAAACCGACTGCATTTCCGCGCGATATTGACAAAATTGTTCGTCACATAGTCACTGACAGACTTGATCCTCAAAAATCATTTTTGCGTCAATGACAAAGATTCACCTGGTAACAAAAAGTGTAATTTCGTGCATTCTGTGTCACATTACTGTTATCCAAGCAGTTCAGGACGTAGATGCTTGTTCGCATTATCGTCTCCATTTAATTGTGTTGCTCAAGTCATTTAGTTTCGTTACAAATTTAGCTAATAAACACATCTGCATATGTTCGTCACTGGCAGCATTGTCATTGACAATTGACATGGTTTGCCTTGACTTTGACTGTTAGCTCAAATGAGTGACCAAAGCAGAATGGTCAATATCACCGTGTACTGTCGAGATTTTGCAGCACTGGCCTCATGTATTAAAAGTAATGCTCTTAAGAACACAGATTTTCAATAGGTTTCGTAGCTTGTTTCGAAATGAAGGGTTTTCCATGAGTCCTGGACGTTTACCACTAATTTAATATACAACCAAAATTCCAACATGATTTAGAAGAAGATTTCAAAACAGAGAAGTTGAAGGATTTCTGAATACAATTCCTGAGGAATTTTAATATGAAATTTATGAAATTTTGATAAGAAATTCATAACATTTCTGGGATCATTCGTAGTAGAATCTGAAGCATACCTACAGGGATTTCTGAAGATTATTCAAATAAATTACTTGAAATAAATTATGAGCAGAATTCCAGGATCAGAGG